TAGTCAAATGGGAAAGTGAAAAACGCTAGTAATATATGTGCATTAAACTAATTAGTCTGATGTTTATGAGGGGAGTTTATTTAAGAATTTCGAATTAGATCATCTTTGGATTGAGGCTTGATATTCGCCTATTAGCTCTCCACTCGGGAACAATTATTTACCCCATACAATAGGCATCTAAAATAATTATGTTAGAATATTAATTAAACTTTGACTCATATTCAATAAGCAGATTGTTGTCGAGAGGAATCTCTGTAACGCAACAGGAAAATAACTTGCTTGTTGCCCTTTACTATTGCAGAACCTTCTAAGTAATAAGCAACTGTATTAACCCATCTTTTAGGTACACATTATAATTATATATTAAAAAATAGTAATGAAAGATTACTTTTGTCGCGAAATTCTCCCGCAAAACGATCCATAAAAATGTTTTCGTGATTCTTATTGCGAAAGAGTCACCACGACACATAAGCATTTCTTCAGAACCCAACCAGAGATCTCTGCCTCTTTTGTCTCTTCCAAATCGCCGTGTCTTCCTCTGTCTGTCTGGATCTGCTCCCCTTGGCGCGAAGCCAACAGAGCCTTCTCGAAGTTGATGCGCTCGCAGGTGGACATCACGGCTACACATAGACCCAGCCGACAGCAGGACGGCCGCGTCTGGCCAGTTCTCTTGGTGTTTGTCGTCCAAATCATTTATCCCTTTTGACTGCTCAGTCTGCCGAGTTGGAATAATACTTTCAAACTTAAGTTCTATAGTGTCAGCATGTAGAGGTGGTGAGCTCCATATGGTGATCACCTGATTGCCTGAACAAAAAATACCCATCATAAGCAAAATCTCTATTTTAACACTAGTGTTTAAACAAATATCTGTAAAAACCACTTTATAAAAACAAAAATAAGTACTCTGCTCGATTGTAGCAACAAAGACAGTTTCGTTTTATTGACGATCCTACCACAGAAAAAGATATGTGAAAGGCTCGGTCTTCCTTGACGATATTATACACAGCACCGACTGGGTTTAAATACCACTGAACTTACTGGAGAGTTATAGACAAGGTTGAAACTGCCGTCCGCATGATGTGAGAATACCTTTATGGAAGCAAGGCTATATGAAATTCAGGGGAAACGTTTAGTCTACTCATGTTATTATCAAAAAATTTAATCATAAGTCCTTTATCACTAGTAAGATTTATTGGAGTTATTATTTATTAAATTGCTCGACATGTTTTCGCAATTTGGTCATATTGGTAGGAAGACGTCCACGGTCCGATTAGGAAATTACCATACATACACTGGACTCTAGACTAAAATGCGTTCCTCTAAGTCTTCCTACCAATATGACCAAATTGCGAAAACAAACTCAAGCAATTTATATTCGACGAAAGGAGACTGCGTTTATTTATGAAAGTTATTCACCTATTAGTGAAATAATCTCACAATTAATTTGTAGAATTTGATTCATGATAAATTTCATGAAACTCAATTCGCTGTACTTATAGGCAAATCGGACACTTAAGCTGATGATAGAATTCTTCTTAATATATGCCGGTAATATCTATTCTACTGAATTCATTCCCTTAATTTTCCATCCTTATTTGTCTGAAATATAAACTAGTGGAATTTTCAGAATTATTATATAGTAAAGCAAAATGAGTTTTTGGTTTAACGCATTTAGATTTAATGAGCACTTAATTGTTTAAGAAATAGTCTATTTCATTCTTACATTATGAGAATTTTGCTGTTTCGATATGGCAAAGCAACTTCAAATCAGAGCCATGTTGTAAATAGAACGATTTGATGTAGCGAAGCCTATGCAGAATAAAGTCAGCTTATTTAATCTTAATCAATCCTCCTTTAAATTGAATGGCTTCTATAAATATCGAAAATCTTGTAAAGTTTCTTTTTCACTGATATTCTTTGATGGTTGATTTGTCCAGAATTCAAGAATTCTCTTTGATGGTAGCTGCTATATTCGGAATTGTGCTTAGCTGCACTTTCCTTACAAAGTAATTTATATCAAAGCGAAGCTCTATGCCTAGATTAACTTAAGTTCGTAACTCAGCTGTATTTTTTTCAAATAATAATAGGAGAATTGTTTTTAAAGTACTTAAAAGTTATACATTTTTGGGATTATTTTATGACAAGGGAATAACTTTTAATAATTATATATAAACTACCGTCTGTCTAATTTCCATTAACTACTTAGTTTCTACTCAAACTAATTTTTCTACGAGCTGCATAAGAAATCCATTATACATTTAGCGTTTTTTGGAATTAGTTTATAAAAAGGTTAACTCTCCAAGAAATTGTTTATTTGGATTATACGTTCTTTCCGCTAGAAGTGACCATCCTCTTAGAAATAGATTTGTTTATCTTTAGTCTTCATTTGAGCTCGCCAAGTCAACCCATGAAATCTTGTTATCTTAAAATAGCACAAAATCATCATAAAGTTTGTCATTTCGAAAGTATTTCCACTAATTAAGGTAAAATAGGGATATCTGTATGCTTTTTGCGAGGACTTTGTTCAGTATTTTGCCATAGATATTACTATCTAAAAGGAGAGCTTAATTGTGCTAATCTTTTAATGTAAATTTAGGTATTATGGTCTTAATATATACAACAACAATACTTTCCTCATATGACCCAGTAAATCATTTGACTTTTGCTACTATCATTTCATTACTATCTTTTCAAGAGGCATTTTCAATTAAGAAACAATAAATCTAATTAAAGTAGAGGTACGATTTGGGTAATCAAGGTCCCGGACAAGCGAAAAATACTTTGATGTAAACCTTAGGCTATTGCTGTTCTCATTATCATCATTTGTCTAAGCAATATGGAAATTAATATCTATTTAAATAAAGAAATGTATGCCGTAACATTCTAGCCCATATACAAAGAATCAGATATATTTTTTGTTAAAATTGTATAGAAATATTTCAGCTTGGTATGGGACTCCTACAAATAGTCCTAAAAATTTGACTTTGTTAATTTCTTAAGCATTTACTTTTAGTATGCTTGGTATTTACGTTAAACGGCTCATTAAGTAGCTATGTTTATGCTTGTCGGAACATTCGTGACATTCTTCGATTACCTACTTATACCTCATAAAACAAGTCACTGTCCCACAAAGTTACACTCACCTCTCCGTTCTCATAACATAAAGATGGGATAGCTCTGAGAATCTCAAAGGCCGTTGTGAACAAGGGAAATAAACCCTATTAGATTGAATATAGGAAGACCAAGATGTTGTGGCATCTGGTGTGGTCGCAGTCTCCTTATTAGCTTCAGTAGATTAGGTTTTCTTATTGGCTTTTTCAGAAGTTGCCGGGCGACTTTGGACTATATTTAGCTAGAAATCATTGTCGGAGTTATGAGTCAGGAAAAATAACTATTTAGGTACATTTATATTATAGTAAACATCTCTATTATCGATAGGTCTGTCTATTTTTTCTAAATAGATATAAATGTTTGTATAGATGATTAAATAAGTTAAGGTAAGGCTAGCCGAATAAAACCATGGTAAGTAATCATACTTAATTACTAGACACTTATTACACCTGCCGCTTTATAAAGGGAACAATCATCAATCATTTAGACAAAGACTATGTCATCTTTCTTTCATTGAAGTTTCGGATACTAAAAATGACAAACTCAGCAAACTTGATCTATATTCCTTTGAAATATTTCTTCAGTTAAATCATTATCATTCAAACCCATAAGTTCTTGCTATATGTACGTTTAGGCAAAGGTGAAACGCAGATGTAGCTTAGAACACAGATCATTATAGGTGGTAACTCATTTTGATACGGATCATAATTAGCCCAGCTGCTTAATTCTACGATAATACTAAAGTAAATACCAGACTCTAAAGTCCTGCGCAGTCAATAGTGCACTCACATTTAGTCCGTTTCAGAGCTCTAGTACTATAATAACAGGATAAAAAGTGATCTATCATCAAGAAAACTACTGGCTACCACCCGGCTCCAAAATACATAAAAGCATAGTCAGCATAGATCACTTCAGCTGATTTAAAGAATGGTAGATGGAATTCATTGGTACTACGAGGTTGAGGTAGCTCATTGTGGGAATACCCAACTATAAGTCCTTAAATCGCCTTAAGCAACCTTGGGTGATTAAGTTCATATTTAAGAATTAATGACAATCTTGAACCTATTTTACCAAAAATATCCAACCTATATGGCCAAACTACCTTGCTCCTTGACCACTACTATTCATAATTTTTCTGCAAGTATAACAGAATAAGAGAAATTACTTCTTTGCGTTGAGCATGCAATTGTTTCCAATACTCTATGTTACCAAACTGCGATAACCAATTCTAAGTATTTTCTATGTAATTAGTCTAATCTCACGAATCGTATCAACACGTTTTATGAAGGACTAAATGGCCCTGTACTATACCACCGCTGGATGCGTCCGTAGAAAATAACTAGATTGGCGCATCAGCATTAAAGTGGATTTTAGCTGACACTGGAAAGGCCTGAACTACAAAATTTAGACTGTTTCTAATTCGAAAAATATCACTCTTCTATGGTATCCGACTTTAAGTAAAACATTTATGAGAATCACAATTAAAAACCCCAGTGAATGCTGAATTTGAGTTCTGTTATGAGAATTGTCATATAAATACTAAGATAGTGAAAGAAGCATTTTTGTAGCCCAATAATAAATAGCAACTCGATTACGACGAATTGAGTGAACTAGTTACTTGTTATATTGCATATAAATATATATATAAATGTATAATTGATTATAGCTCAGGTTTGTTAATATTAATTCTAAGCACTGACAGCGACAGCTTGCTCATGAATCAGTATGACAAATACAGACATTTTTTTCACTGTCACCAAACGAGTTCACTTTAGATAAAAGAAGATTGTCTACTCTGGGCTAGAACTGCAAATATCAAAAAAGCTAGTCATTACACCATTACCAGTATATCAATATGCAGTAGATTCAATAGTTATATATTTCATAGAATACTTGTTATAATAACGTTTTTATGGGCTTCACCCATGGTATACTAATGCTCGATATTTAATCATGCATAAGTGATTCCGACTTAATATAATCTGACGATGAGCAGTAGCATTATTTCACAAATTCGTCCAAACGAGTTTATTGTGAAATGAAGTGATTCTGGAATTAATACGATTTCATTTTGATTGCCGGATCAAGCAATATTTAAGTGCACGCTTACTTTACCTGAGCTCTGTTCAGGAGTTTAATTGTCTCTTTATCTGCCATATTTTATTATTAAAAATGCGCAATTTGGTTGACATTATACATTCTAATAAAATGTTTTACTTAAAGGGAAACATTTATGCT